GGATGAATTGTATTGATGTTGACAGTAGAAACTAGGCAATATATATTTTTTAAATTTACTGAATGATGAGTGTGACTTTTTCAGTTCAATCTGCCTCTGTCGACTGCTGGCATTATCCTCACCATAACCCCTACTCTACTCAAGGTGGTGCTAGCATAAGTACAGGAGGAGGTAATGCAGATTGTAGTTTCTGGCAACTGCACAGAATCAGATACAGCCTGCCCTATGACTTTCTTGGTCTGCTTTGTTACTTAGTAATAAAGGCTTGTCGGATCTTTACAGATGTTTCTTCATACCAACACTATTGAGATGACCATTCACTCACCCCCATACTCACCCCCATACTCACTTTCTTGACACACAATGTGCACTTTGCAAGGTAGCCTTCTTAGAGGCAGTCCAAATGATCAGAAACATTGCTTCATTGGTGCAATTGCCCCCACCCTTTGTTTTTTGTCTGCTGCAGATGCCAGTGGATTTGCATTAGTGGCAGAGGAAGCTGTCTCAACACTAGCTTATACTCCATCACTGGGTTGATTAATGCTAACAGAAATGTTAATGGTGCCTCTACATGTGTTATTGATGCAAGTGGTAGTGGTGATGGTGGTGGTAACATTGACAGTGAGTGAGCTACTTGTGCAAATTGTAGTAGGTGCAGCTGATGACACAGCTGTCTCCATTAGATGAGGTGATTGTATAGCAGATACAGATGACATGGAGATGGTGGAGAAAAAGTGGGAGGAGAGTGCACACTAGCTGCCAGAAGAAAAATACTGTACTGCTGCTTGTCCTTTTCAATCTCTCTTATTCCAATTTTTCTGGCTCATCATACTCATAGTTGAGGATCTCTTGGGTCAAAGATAAAAGTCATGTGTCTGCACAGGTGTGGGAAACAGTATTCTCAGCATCAGATACATGAAAATGCAACTTAATACTTCTCTAGTCTCAAAATTATTCAACCCCTTTCATGGCAAACATCTTTAGTCCTTAATTGTGAACCCTTTTGCTGTTATAACTTGCTGCAAACAAGATGCATAGCCAGACACCAGCCCATTGCTTGCTTTGGTCACATATGGGAACAAAACAAAATGTATACGGCTACTTTCTTCTGTTGTGGGCACATACCTATGTGGTAAATGCATTGCATGTAAACATATCAAATGGGGATCAAAATATATTGCTTACCAGCAAGTAATTTTTATATTTTAACAGAAAATGTGTTGTATATTTACTTACATGTGAATGTGGAGAAAAATATGTAGGTAAAAAATTTGCCACTTGGGGGCGGGGCTAAGCGGCCATGCTGAGCGGTCGCATGTGAAACGAGCTCCATGCAAAAAAGCTCTACACTAGCCAAAATCAGGGCAAAAACCCATCAAAATACGGTTAAGCAACCTGGAGAAGGAAGCCCTAAACTGCAGAGCCAAGCACCAAGCATCCCGACCGAAATCAGAGGCTTCTAACCAGGGATAGACCTGAGGCCCACCAGAGGCCTACTCGGACAAAACGAGGGAGGCGGCCGATACCTACGCTGACCGCAGCCACTCACCTGGAGGTCTCCCCGGCAAACTCCCTCCCCCCCCGCCGGTGAGGGATATCCCGGCAACTACAGCTTGAGACACATAGGCAAAACTGCAGCGGTGACTGTCCCACACAGCCAGAACAACGCCAGCAATCATGGCGAGTAACCCTCTGAACAGCGCCCCGCTGCCCCCTCTGGAAGAAAGGCTGGATCGCCTGTTTGCCGCCTTTTGGGCTAAAATATACCAACAGGGAGACATAACAGTGGAGACCCCACCAGCAGCAGGCCGGGAAGAGGCCGGGCAGAGACCCGCGGCCCCCTTTCAGGGTATCGGCAAGGCTGAAATGGCGGGAAGAAGGAGATGGACGACTCGACGCAAACCTCGACACCGCAGACCAAGACAAGCAGTGAGTCGTCCTACTCCCCATCAGTGGCTACCCCTCTGCAGCCTCACCACACTCCCGAAGACCAGTACCCGCCATGTGGAGAACCCACATAAGAGTCCACAGAGGCTTAAAATGGAACCGGACCGTACACCCACAGCGCCACGGAAAACTCCTGCCCACGAGACTGACCTGCCTCACACGCTGATGATCAATGCGGCTCCCAGTCAGACACGCTCTCCAGCTCCAACACCCCTACACAAGCGGGGCATCGGCTGAAATGACCACACCATAGAGGTATCAGCCCCACACTGCGAGATGCAGACAGGGTGGAAGATTGGCGCAGAAGCCGCACATACTCGCAAGCTGGGACTCTTTCCTGCGAATACTGATCTGGTATTGCCTGACACGCACCCCTAACGTGACTTTGTGTAGCATCTTATAATGTATAATGCTCATCTACTAAACATGTATTTTGATGCATACTGTGATAGCTAACGGCCAGGACAGCCTGTACCTTCTAATCCTGATAACCTAACACTGACAAACCATAATCTTTAACGCAGATCCAATGTTGTATTGGGGCATTCTGTCCTCGCTGTATTCATTTTTATTATACCGTTAGATCAGACGTGCCTAGCAGCTAGCAAGTTCTACTTTATATAATCTATGTCAAGAAAGTTTAGCCATGACCACTGTGATAAACGTGTCATTTTTTGATAAGGATACGCTGAACCACAAATGGCGAATAAGTAATGGCGGAATTAACCCCTTCACCCCTACTCGGCTACTAAGGCATGCATACTTTAACTCACGACCATACTCAAAATGCCTATGTACCCCAAAGCGGCTAGCTCAACCCCAGGGGGTTTACACAACTATCTTGAAGATCTAGCATGTAACCAACCAAACATTAGTCTAACAATACCAACTGTATTGCAATTAGCGTACACCTGAACAGCAAATACATAAGTAATTACAGTCATGTATTGTCTAGCATGTTACTCCACATTTAACTACTATAGAAGCAAGCCTATTCATGTTTTGCCCATTCTCCCTAGTAATCACAGTACTGGACTATCTAGCACGTTACTCAACACTTGGTTAATACTCTTTAAAAGTAAAAAATGTGCACATGTCATTCTGTACCCCAATGTTTCATATGTTGATGGAAAAAGTGAGTGGATTGCCTTTGGGGCACCACAAACCTGATTGTTAAGCCTATATGCACGAAAAATAAAGAATTATAAAAAAAAAACAAAAAACAATTTGCCCCTTCAAATACAAGATCAGATAACACATCAGATCAGTCATAAACAGGAGGGGCACTCCAGTGCCATGACACATCTGGATGCATCATAATGGCTCTACCACAAAACTGAAGTCCTGTTGTATTGAGCATGTGCAGCTAGAGTATAGAAAAGATGATTTAGATCACCTACTGAAGTGTTATTGGATTTATCAACTTAAAACCCTACACCCTCTTAAACTGAAAGAAGAATTTTCTTACACACTGTGACAAACTCCCCTTTTCAGGTGAGTTTGCCACAAGTTCCTGGAGGAGCCTACTTGACAGCCTCCTGCACACAGACTATGGACCTTGTATAATGTGATATAAATTCTCAGTTTGTGTATTTGGACTATATGGTTCGGGAACCGAATAATCGCACGAACCAGAGACCACCCTGGAGCTTGTTAAGCCTAATTACTACTTTGTAACAATTTCGACCTCAGTTTCCTAAGTGCTCATCTGGGTGGCCACAATTCTTATGGACGATCACCAGGTGGCGGCCATCTTGTTCGCATGAACGCAGGCAGCGGTGTTTGGGCATGAATCTCATGGAACTAAAATCGGACACAGAAACTCCATCATCACATGCGTTCGGTTCTACACAAGTTAGACGGACACGGTTCGGTGGAATCATTCGTCTGAACAAGGGGAACAAGCTTCAGGTTAAGACCATTGACTGTGTTTGGTAGTTTGTTCATTTTTAAACTACCGAACTAGACCGACCGCTAGCCCTGATGCTATGGAACTGTTTTGGGCATGGGATCATGCGTGTGGTCGGTTAAACAAATTACTTCCAGGAAATTTCTGAATCCCTGAACTGATCTGAGCAATTTTTGGGTATGTTGGTCACCCAGATCGGAACTATCAGGGGATTTGTGGGGTTTTATGTATTTTTAAGGTACTTTTGGGTGTTTGGAAAATGTGTGTTTTTTGTGCTTGAAGATAAATGAGTTTAATACAGTGCTTGACTCAATTATCTCCCAGGCACAGGAGAGGGATTATCTTGTTTTGTATGGGAGTGTCCTGGATCTGAGATCCAATGTAATTGTATATTGATTTCAACTGTGGCTTACTCTCAGGTCTAGGGGGGAGTGTCCCTTGCATGGGGGAAACGAATATAAGGCCAGTTGTGGCTGCCATTAAAGTATTCCAGTTTGTACTCCCAGAACTATATGTTGTTTGGTTACTGGAAGGGGAAAGGGCTACTCTTTAAACACTGTTCCAGTGTGGAGGATTCAATGGAACAGTGTAAGGACTAGCGCACCCAGGACTGAGTGTCTTCCAGTGCCTAGGGCTGTCTAGAGTGAATTCCCCATTCGGCTCCAGGGCCCCAGTCTAGCCATGGCGACTGGACAGAAGTGCTGTGGTTTGTCCCCTGGTCCAGCTAGGAAGCGGTCCTTTGGCAGGGACCTCCGCTACACACACCATTTATTTATTAGAATTTTACCATATATTTATTAGAATTTTGCTTTTGACTTAATTTTACCTTTAGAACAACTCAACTTCCATTTTTACAGACTTTATATGTCTAATGTTTCCTTGGGGAGTAGAAGTAGCACTTCTGTAAATCCAGTTTACACCTCCTAATCCCTTTGGAGGACATGTGGGCATAAATCTATGCCTAAAGAAAAGCCTCACCACAATATAACAGTGTAAATGGTGAACAAAATTATACTTATCTAAAAAATAAAGAGACCACCTCCCTAAGATCACTTCCCAGGTGGTAATCTTATATCAACCGGAATATAGATAAAAAATTTGGGATGTGGCTGTTGAATCTAAAAAGAACATAAACAAAACAATGTGTAATACAAGCTGGTGTAAATATGTGCGCTAAATTTAGATGCACTCACAGGAAGGTGGTATAAAATGCGCTCAAAGGGTGCCTCCCCCGATGGTGATGCAGGGCTATTGATCCCTTTTCCTCCGTCCGTGTGTACCACTGTGAATCAGAATTTTAGATAGTGGATTGAAGAAACAGCAGCTTTTATTTCAAATTAAAAAGTTAAATAACGCTTGAATGATGCAAAAAGCAGTAGTGCGTCCTACGTGTTTCGTCCCAACCATGGGACTTCCTCAGAGACCTTAGAAGTTAAAACAAATGTAAAAAAACTCTCAAACAAAGCAGTGACCTTAGAAGTTAAAACAAATTATAAACTCTCAAACAAAGCAGCCTGCTTTGTTTGAAAGTTTATCATTTGTTTTAACTTCTAAGGTCCCTGAGGAAGTCCCATGCTTGGGACAAAACGTATAGGACCCTCTATTGCTTTTAGCGTCATTCAAGAGTTATTTTACTTTTTTTATTTGAAATAAAAGCTGCTATTTCTTCAGTCCACTATCTGGAGTCCTGATTCACAGTGGTACACACGGATCAAGGAAAAGGGATCACCATCTGATGAAGCACTCTTTGAGCGCATTTTATACCATCTTCCTGTGAGTGCATCTAATTTTAGCGCACATATTTACAACAAATTGTATTACATTATGTTTTGTTTATGCAAAGGAATAATAAGTGCTCTCTTCTCAGGGGTGAGCTGCAGTTCACCAACAAGGTGTTCCTCTACCTTGTGATAAATGGACAGATAAAATAGAAAGGTGAACAGCGCTAAAAATCAGAAAATGTACATACGTTTTGTAGAAATACTGGCCAGCAGAGTAACTTAAAAAAAGAGAGAAACAAAAATACAAATAATGGTACAGTAGGTATGAACGATATAATTCCACAAGAACAAAGGTGTTATATTCACACTCACACTTTGAGGAGCTATATCAGCTCGGTGTTAAGAGCCTGGACGGAATAATCCCCGTCTATGGATTTCTTGAGGTTCAAGACCGTTGGTGAATTTATAGGTGTAAATATTCGTTACATGAAAAACAAGAGTAAAATACACCACATGGTATAGTACGTAAATATAAAATATTGGAAAAAAAAAAAAGTGGATGATCCTACTTACATATACTAGAGCAATTATCTGCTCTAGTTTGGAGAATTTCAGGTGGAATAATCCCCACCTTGGGATATAGTGTATTAAAGTATATATATTTTTTAAACTATCCAGTCATTCCTTTTGTCCTCCTTCCTATCCAATACTGCTTTGCTGCTATACCTGGGTCCACTATATCCCAAGGTGGGGATTATTCCACCTGAAATTCTCCAAACTAGAGCAGGTCATTGCTCTAGTATATGTAAGTAGGATCATCCACTTTTTTTTTCCAATATTTTATATTTACGTACTATACCATGTGGTGTATTTTACTCTTGTTTTTCATGTAACGAATATTTACACCTATAAATTCACCAACGGTCTTGAACCTCAAGAAATCCATAGACGGGGATTATTCCGTCCAGGCTCTTAACACCGAGCTGATATAGCTCCTCAAAGTGTGAGTGTGAATATAACACCTTTGTTCTTGTGGAATTATATCGTTCATACATACTGTACCATTATTTGTATTTTTGTTTCTCTCTTTTTTTAAGTTACTCTGCTGGCCAGTATTTCTACAAAACGTATGTACATTTTCTGATTTTTAGCGCTGTTCACCTTTCTATTTTATATGTTTTGTTTATGTTCTTTTTTAGATTCAACAGCCGCATCCCAAATGTTTTGTCTATAAATCTATGCCTTCTTTATGGATTGCATTAATGTTGAGTGACAGAGAAAAGGTATTACAAAATGCATTGAGAAGGTAAGCGGCATATATATGTATGTTTTTACATGCATAAATACACTTATTCTCTGAGAATTCCCATTAAAATGCAAGATAATTCCATTCATTGACAAGGTTTGCAACACATTTACTGTTAATATTGACCCTATGTATTTTTAGTATATTTGTAATACAATCCCTGTTTGGACATATAGAATATAAATCTGGATCTGTTACGTGCTATTTAATAGCTTGGGAAATTGGGAAACTGAGTTTTTGGTTTAGGAGTCACTGGAATCTTCTATGAATACACTTGTTTTTGGTTGGAATTTGGTTGTTTTTGGTTGGAATTAGCATGCTAAATAATTATTGAATTGTACATTTTCTATACTATATATATTTTTTTTAATATAGCCGACTGTATCTATTTAATTCTATGTATTTATAGTTGATTTGTGGCACTTTATTATTATCCATCTAGGATAGCTTGATGGTATTGGTGTTTGGAGCTAAGTTATCAAATGTGGCATATGTATTTATCCCTTCTATATGTTTGAAACATAGAAACATAGAATGTGAAGGCAGATAAGAACCATTCAGCTCATCTAGTCTGCCCAATTTTCTAAATACTCTCATTAGTCCCTGGCTTTAAGTCT